ATGCAGGCGGGGGGCCCCGCCACGCCCAGGAAGGGGTGGCGCAGCAGCTCCGGGGCGCTCGCCCGCTGCGCCGGGTCCCGCACCAGCATCCGCTCCAGGAACCCCTTCAGGGATGGGGACACCTGGGGGGGACGGAAAGGGGGGGGTCAGACACCCCCTGGGGCTGCCCAGAAAGGGGGGGACTGCCCCCCGCGTTACCTTGTGGCCATTCTTGAGCCGGGGGGGAAGGTTGTCCCGGATCAGCTTCATGGCTTTGAGGGGGGGCTCGTTGAAATAAGGGGGTTCCCCATCCACCATCTCGATGACCATCACCCCCAGAGACCAGATGTCCACCTGGGGGGGGGACAGGCACACCAGAAATGAGGAGGGGGTTAGGGGGGAGCCCCTCAAACCCACTCCATGTCCCCCCTCCCATATATACAGCATCCAGAATGGGGGGGTCTGGAAGGGAGGCCACTTGGAGCCCCTCAAACATACGCTGGGAACCCCAGACCCACCCTGTTCTCCCTAAACCCACGCTGGGCACCCCTAAACCCATTCCAAACCCACCCTGGGCACCCTCAAACCCATCCCAAACTCCCCACAAGACACCTCAAGCTGGCAGAGAAGGCAGGAGATGAACTCGGGAGCCCACACACCCACCCCAAACCCCCTGAAACCCACCCTAAACACCCCCCAATGAACCCCAGGACCCCCTAAACTCCCCCAAGCCCCCTGACCCACCTCTGGGCCGTAGGGCAGGCGGGAGATGAGCTCGGGGGCCATCCAGTACGGAGTCCCCACCAGGGACTTGCGCCGCGGCACGTCCTTGTTCACTTGGGCGCAGAAGCCGAAATCCGAGAGTTTCACCTGCCAGCGGGGCCGGGGCCGCTCAGGGCGGGACCCCAAAGGGTCGGGGGGAGGTTTGGGGGAGGGATTTCTGGGGGTTCCTACCCGCCCGTCATGCGTGAGGAGGATGGAGTCGCTCTTGATGTCGCGGTGGATGACGCCCTGGGCGTGGAGCACGGCGAGCGCCCGCAGCACCGAGCGGCACACGGCCGCGATCTGCTCCTCGGACATCCTGGGGACAGCGCTCTGTCACCGCCCTGCCACCGCCCTGCCGCCGCCCCCTGCCACCTCTGCTGCCCCCAGTCACCTGGTGTGGGTGACGATGTCCGTCAGGGCGCCGCCCTCCAGGAACTCCATGACCACCCAGAGCTCGTCGCCCACCAGGTAACTGTTGTACATCTCCACCACGTTCTCGTGCTGGTGGTCCCGCATGATCACCACCTGGGGAGGGGGGGGATACGGGGATCAGAGCCTGGGACTGTCCTCGGGGGTCCCCAGGGCATCAGGAGGTCCCTAGTGGGTCACCAAGAGGTCTTTGAGGGGCTTTGAGGGGGCCATGAGGGATCCAAGGGGTTCCTGAGGGACTCTGAAGCTCCCTCCCCGAGGGTCCCCAAGGCTCTCAAGGGTTCCCCAAGGCTCTCAAGGGATCCCCAAGGCCCTCAAGGGGTTCCCAAAGCTCTCAAGGTGTCCCCAAGGCTCTCAAGGTGTCCCCAAGGCCCCTAAAGGGTCCCCAGGGCTCTCAAGGGGTCCCCAAGACTCTCAAGAAGTTCCCAGGGTTCTCAAGGGTTCCCCAAGGCCCTTAAGGGATCCCCAGGGCTCTCAAGGTGTCCCCAAGGCCCCCAAGGGCTCCCCAGGGCTGCCCCTGCCCTCACCTCATTGAAGAGCAGCTCCCGCCGCTGCTGCTTGCGCAGGTCCATCTTTTTGACGGCCACGAGCTTGCCGGAGCCGCGCACGGTGGCGATGCACACCACGCCCGTGGAGCCCTCGCCGATCTTGATGAAGTTGTCCAGGTAGGTGCGGGGGTCGCCGGGGTCCACCACCATCTGCAGCGCCGCCCGGAACTGCTCGTGGGACACGCGCTGGGGTCCCCCCGCCGGGGCGGGCGCGGGGCCGGGGGGACGCGGGGCCGGGGGCTCCGGGGCTTTGGGG